CAAAATAACCATCAATTGCCCTCGGTCTGGAGCTTCATGTAAGGTTTTGTCTCATGAGGTAAGGATGCTCATGAGAAAGGTGAGGGATCAGCCCAGAAAAACACGGGAGGAGCATGTGAATGATCTCAAGGCAGCTGGGACCGCCTTGAGATCAAAGAGCTGTCAAAGGACATCAGGGACAAGATTGTAGACCTGCACAAGGCTGGAATGGGCTACCAGACCATCAGCAAGAAGCTTGGTGAGGAGGAGACAAGTGTTGGAGCGATTATTCAAATGGAAGAAATACAAAATAATCATCAGTCGCTCCTATTTTGGAGCTTCACGTAAGATTTTGCTTTCCGGGGTAAGGATGATCATGAGAAAAGTGAGGGATTAGCCCAGAATTACAGGGGAGGAGCTTGTGAATGATCTCAAGGCAGTTGGGAGGACTGCAATCACCAAACAAACCATTGGTAACACAATATGCCGCCATGGATTGAAATGACTTTTCCACATTGAGGGGCTAATGGACGAGGCCATGTATTGTAAAATCTTGGATGAGAACCTTCTTCCCTCAGCCAGAACACTGAAGATGCATTGTGGATGGGTGTTCCAGCATGACAATGACTCAAAACATACCACCAAGGCACCAAAGGAGTGGTTCAAGAAGAAGCACATTGAGGTCATGGAGTGGCCTAGCCAGTCTCCAGATCTTAATCCTATAGAAAATACATGGAGGAGCTGAAAGTTTGAGTTGCCAAGCGACAGCCAAGAAACCCTAAGGATTTAGAGAAGATCTGTAAAGAAGAGTGGACCAAAATCCCTCCTGAGATGTGTGCCAACCTGGGAACCATCTACAAGAAACGTCTTGCCGATAAGAGTTTCTTCAAGTACTAAGTCATGTTTTGATTCGGGATCAGGTACTTATTTTACTCAAAATTCAATTTATAAACATTTGTACTGCATAGTTTTTTTTTTCTTATTATTATTTTTGGCTATTCTCTCTCTATCATTTAAAATACGCCTATGATAAAAATGATAGACCTTTTATTTCTTTGTAAGTGGGCAAACTTACAAAATCTGCAGGGGATCAAATAATTATTTTCCCCATTGTACATACGAGATGGTATCAAATCGGCTCAAAACCAGTTTTGTAACATGCCAACAGATGGCAGCACAAGGCGGCCCGCACAGTCACAGGGAGCACCAACCTTCATAAGTCAGCGTGCCAAAAGACCATCATCCTGTGTACATGGGGAGATGTGCAACTGGTGCTATTCTGACCACGTCTGCTATTTCATCACGGACATCAGTTAGAACAAACAGCAAACGTGAAATACCACTTACTTTACCAAGACCGAGCAATGACCTCATGTTGGTGTTGATGCTGTATGTTCAGTTCTCAGGCTACAGATGGGTCAGTGATCGAGCTGTAGTGCTCATTCGCAATATACGGTGTAACCCCCGGGTTCACACCTGTGCGGCCATGCGGGCCGCGTTTTGCTCGCGCATGAGAGCCCATTCATTTCAATGGACTCCTGTGCCCGCGACATGCAGGGAAGAAGTCCCAGCACTACTTTGGAAAACGCAGCCCGCAACCTCGGCTCCCAGTACGGTTGCATTTCCCAGTGCGGGCGGCGTGCCATTCGAACTAATGGCACGGATTTTCGTGCGGATCCGCAGTGGCACCACCCGCACAGATGTGAACCTAGGGTAAAAGTGAGATCACTGACTTGGGTGTGTTGTCTGGCAGGGGTGCCTGGATCCCAAGACTGATTTGACATATTAAACCGGTCACATATCATATTTCAGGTGTGCATTAAGCAGTTTGCCCGGAGTTATGCTTTAAAATTGCACGCCGACTCCACGGTGAAGCGGCTCCACTCTATTAAACGCACAAAGCCTATAAAAATATCAAATTATATGTTTGTTTTTTTAAGAATTGTTCAAGTAAATGTATATATTTTAAATGTCTAGTCTTATTTAATCACCAAATTGTCGTTTTTTTCCTGAAAACGTGTTCTGAATCTCAATTCCAGTGAAGGTGCGCTCGTTAAGCTCGGGCACAAAGAGATTTTCAGACACGCTTTACAATCTCTTTTGAACAAACCTTTTGTGAAAGCCGCATTGAAATGAGTCCAGCATGAAGGTAACTGACTACTTGGAACTGAAGTCAGTGCAGAGTGTATGACTGCTCTCAGCCCGACTAGGTCAGGGAATCTGATCATTTCTGCCTCCACCGCCGCCCTCGCCTTATCTCCATCTTCGCGCTTACGTTCCATTGTTTTACTTTCCCTTCGTTGGGGAAGATTTGTATTTTATTCCCATCTAAGGTAGTGGCCGGTGTGTTGCGCTCCGGTATGATCTTCTCTTTACTGCGGAAGTCTTTGAGGCAGAGGAAAAATGTCTCTCAGAAGTTTGTCCAGTGGTGGTTTTCAGTCTTAGTGCGCCATCTAAGTGCAGCATTAAAGCATTTATTGTACGATTAAAAACAAACCACCAAAATAAAATGTCCTGGGGAGCCCATCTAAATGATACAAATATAATGAGGTGCCACAAACATAAACTGGTGGGGTGTAGCTTAGGAACGAAATGGGAAAAGAAAATAGGCTACACACCTAGAAGGCTAGTCCTCGTACAAAAGTTTTATTTTTCATAGAAAAAAAATGCAATTCCTCACAGATGAGTGACCAAGTCCCTGCCCCGCTGTCCCCTAGAAACCCCGCTGATGACCAATCCCAACCCAAGACCCTACAGCATCTAACCTTGGACGTCTTCACTACAGCAGATTTGTACTGGCCACCTGGTCTTTAGGGTCTTGGGTGGCAGCCCCTTGGCCCTCTGCATTCTTGTCTATTAGGCAGTCATCTAGGGCTGCAGTGTAGTATAGTCCACCCCCCCAAAAAAAAAAAATCCACATGGATCACCCTCGCCCTCTTCAAACACATCCAGCTGCCACCCGGAAGGAGCTGAGGAAAGACGATCACCCCTAACTGGGCCCCCCCACCATTCAAGCTGGTATGCTACCCCAAACTCAGCACCCTGATCTGACTGGATAACACTACAGCAGGGGCGGACTGACCATTTGGAAAACTCGGGCACTGCCCAAGGGCCCAGGGTCAGTAAGGGGCCCCATGAGATGCCCCTGGTACCTTTTTCATAGGCTTTTTTGAGTTTGGGCAAGGACACAGGGGCCCCATGATCCCCTATTGCCCGGGGGCCCCATGAGTTGTCAGTCCACCCCTGCACTAGAGCCAGTCCCAAAGCCTTCCTGTATCAAAAATGAACAAGTGTCACTGGGTACAAGTGTATGGCCAACCCTAGACTACACTGCAGCCCCTGATGACTGCCTGATAGATATGAATGCAGAGGGCCAAGGGGCTGCCAACCAGGACCCTATAGACCAGGTGGCCGGTAAAAATCTGCTGTAATGAAGGTGTCCAATGTTAGATGCTGTGGGGTCTTGGGTTGGGGGTGGGATTGGTCATCTGGGGGGGGGGGGGGGGTTCTAGGGGACAGTGGGTCGGGGACTTGGTCACTCATCTGTGATGCATTGCATTTTTAATTTTTTTCCTGTGTAAAATAAATATGTATGAGGAACAGCCTTTTATGGGTGTTTTAAATTGTCAACTCGCTTGAAGTAAGTTTGTGAAGGTATTTAATGCATACGAAAGCAGGACATCAAAGGGAACCCAGGAGCAGAGGCATCCAGTCCAGGGATTGTGCAGCACTGCAGCCAGCCAGGTAGGCGTTGGAAGCTCAGAGCACGTCCTGGTTGGGAGAAGACTCCAGAGGAACCCAGCAGATGATGTCAGACATCAGGAGACATCTTGGGGACACGGCAGTGTGTTTCAGTGTGTTTCACTGTGTTTCTGCCTCTGTCAAGCCTCCTGATGCTTTATAAATGGACCCCCTAAGTGTAGTACTGGCAGGATCACCCACCGAAAATAATGGAGAAAAAAAGCCTGAAAAAAAAGACCAGTAAGATGCATTGGGTTACTTTTATTATTATTATTATTATTATTATTATTATAATACAGGATTTATGGCACCAACAGTTTGCTCAGCGCTGTACATTATAACGGGAGACAATACAGCAACAATACAGTTCAATACAAGAGGGATAGGAGGGCCCTGATCCTGGGAGCTTACAATTTAAGGGGGAGGGGCTGGTGGTACAAGAGGTAATAACTGTGGGGGATGGACTGGTAGGAGGAGTAGAAGATTCCGTTATTAGCTGAGGGCAGGATAGGCTTCCCTGAAGAGATCGGTTTTCAGAGATCGCCTAAAAGTGAGCAGAGTAGATGATTAGTCTGATAATTGGGGTAGTAAGTTCCAGAGGATGGGGGAAGCACTGGAGAAGTCCTGGAGACGAGCATGGGAGGAGGAGACGAGGGAGCTAGAGAGCAGGAGGTCGTGCGAAGGAGCGGAGAGTACGGTTTGGGTGATATTTGGAGACAAAATTGGTGATGTCATTTGGGGCGGAGTTATAAATGGCTTTATATGTTATTGTTAATGTTTTGAATTTTATCCCTTGTGTAATGGGAAGCCAGTAGAGGGATTGGAAGAGAGGGATGGAGGACACTGAGTGGAGACCTGTGGAGGGATTGGCAGAGAGGGGTGGAGGACACTGAATGGAGACCAGTGGAGGGATTGGCAGAGAGGGTGGAGGACACTAAATGGAGACCTGTGGAGGGATTGGCAGAGAGGGGTGGAGGACACTGAATGGAGACCAGTGGAGGGATTGGCAGAGAGGGGGTGGAGGACACTGAATGGAGACCAGTGGAGGGATTGGCAGAGAGGGGTGGAGGACACTGAATGGAGACCAGTGGAGGGATTGGCAGAGAGGGGTGGAGGACACTGAATGGAGACCAGTGGAGGGATTGGCAGAGAGGGGTGGAGGACACTGAATGGAGGCCAGTGGAGGGATTGGCAGAGAGGGGTGGAGGACACTGAATGGAGACCAGTGAAGGGATTGGCATAGAGGGGTGGAGGACACTGAATGGAGACCAGTGAAGGGATTGGCAGAGAGGGATGGAGGCCAGTGGAGGGATTGGCAGAGAGAGGTGGAAGCCAGTGGAGGGATTGGCAGAGTGGAGTGGAGGACACTGAATGGAGACCAGTGGAAGGATTGGCAGAGAGGGATGGAAGCCAGTGGAGGGATTGGCAGAGAGGGGTGGAGGACACTGAATGGAGACCAGTGGAGGGATTGGCAGAGAGGGGTGGAGAACACAATGTACACCAGTGGAGGGATTGGCAGAGAGGGGTGGAGGACACTGAATGGAGGCCAGTGGACAGATTGGCAGAGAGGGGTGGAGGACACTGAATGGAGGCCAGTAGAGGGATTGGCAGAGAGGGATGGAGGACACTGAATGGAGGCCAGTGGAGGGATTGGCAGGGAGGGGTGGAGAACACTGAAGGGAGGCCAGTGGAGGGATTGGCAGAGAGGGGTGGAGGCCAGTGGAGGGATTGGCAGAGAGGGGTGGAGGACACTCAGTGGAGGCCAGTGGAGGGATTGGCAGAGAGGGGTGGCAGATACAGAACGGTTAGTAAGGTGGATGAGTCTGGCAGCATTCATTCATGATAGACTGAAGAGGGGATAGCCTGCGATGAGGTCGGCCAATGAGGAGGGAGTTACAATAGTCAAGGCGAGAGATAACCAGGGAGGGAATAAGTTGCTTGGTGGTTTCCGAGGTTAGGAACGGCCGTGTCTTGCAGATGTTGCGGAGGTTTTATGATTTTTTGGGTTTAGATACGCTTTAATGTCGCACTTCATCTTGGCGAGTGTTGTGACAAAATCCATCTTCTGCGGTAAGCATTACCGATGAGCGCGCCATTTGGTACCAGTGTGTGACACGCCGCGGCCTTGCGATTTTGCTTTTTTCTGCTCCTCTAATCTAAAATGTGAAACATTCAAAGGAGAGCGCCGTGCCCCGCGGTCAGACCTCGGTGGGAGATGATCTTAATGGGGCTCGGGGTTTATGACAAGCAGCTTCATATTTTATAGGATCCTCCAGAAGCTTTTTGTCAACATGCGCGTCGCTGTTTATACCCCAGTGTGTCTTTTCCATTAAAAGTGCCGACGAAGGCTGACTTGTAAAACGAAGATGTATATCAAACGTGACACGCCGGTGGCTTTTATTTTGAGGCGATGCATCCTCCGTATCTGTGTTATCTGCAGACGGAAAGCTTCAAAATACAGATGGGCGCAGGAGGGGGGTTGGCACTTGACCCTTTCGCTGCCAGAGCTGGGTTTGCATTTTTTTTTTTCATGTTTAAAAATTAATTTTGGGCCTGAAGATTGCACAAAACCCCCACATATTATATATTTTCTGAAAGCAAATACCCTAGAGCAGTGGTGGGCAACCTTTTTTTTCAACTGAGCCAAATCTCGCCAAAACCACGATTGAAATTTATTTTGAGAGCCACATTTTTAAAACTGAAAATACATCCCCCATATAGTAATTCATCCCCCATAAGTAATTCATCCCCCCTATAGTAATTCATCCCCCCTATAGTAATTCATCCCCCATATAGTAATTCATCCCCCATATAGTAATTCATCCCCCCTATAGTAATTCATCCCCCTATAGTAATTCATCCCCCATATAGTAATTCATCCCCCCTATAGTAATTCATCCCCCATAGTAATTCATCCCCCCTATAGTAATTCATCCCCCATATAGTAATTCATCCCCCCTATAGTAATTCATCCCCCATATAGTAATTCATCCCCCCTATAGTAATTCATCCCCCATATAGTAATTCATCCCCCCTATAGTAATTCATCCCCCCTATAGTAATTCATCCCCCCTATAGTAATTCATCCCCCATAGTAATTCATCCCCCATAGTAATTCATCCCCCATATAGTAATTCATCCCCCATATAGTAATTCATCCCCCATTTAATTCATCCCCCCATATAGTAATTCATCCCCCATATAGTAATTCATCCCCCATATTGTGTCAATTCACTTACCTTTGCTCCGTGCGTTCCTCTCGCCGCGTTCCCGCGCCGTTCCAGTCTTCAGGGCGGACTGTGAGAGGAGAGGAGTTCGTCACGCTGCCCCACCTACATCCTGACAGCCAATGTTTGCCACGCTCCGCGGGATTAAAAGGTCCGCCGGGCCGTATGCGGGTCGTAGTTTGCCCATTGCTGGGCTAGCTGCAGAGTCCTGACTTTTGGGGCGGCCGCCCGACAGGAGGGAGGGGAGCGGGCGCCCGGCACACAGAAGAGCCGCATTAAAATGTGTAAAGAGCCGCATGTGGCTCGCGAGCCGCGGCTTGCCGACCACTGCCCTAGAGCAGTGATTCTCAACCTGTTTTCAGTCATGGCACCCTTTAAAATTATGGACAGTCCCGAGGCACCCCCATTCTAAAATGTAATATATATATATGTGTGTGTATGATGATTTTTGCGCACCCCTGCCACCCTGTAGCAGTACAGATGCTATAGGGCAGCGGGGAAAGCGATTAAGGTAGCACAGTGCCGAAAAGCAAAAAGCGGCCTGGTCATGAAGGGGGTAAAACCTTATCGAGGTCAAGTGGTAAATTTACACCAGTGTTTCTCAACCTTTTTTTTTTTCAATCAAGGCACCCTTTAAAATTATGGACAGTTCCGAGGCACCCTTTAAAATTATAGACAGTCTCGAGCAGGGGCGGGGACTGACCATTTGAAAACTCAGGCACTGCCCGAGGGCCCGGGGTCAGTAGGGGGCCCCATAAGATGCCCCTGGTACCTTTTTCATAGGCTTTTTTGAGTTTGGGCAAGGACACAGGGGCCCCATGATCCCCTATTGCCCGGGGGCCCCATGAGTTGTCAGTCCGCCCCTGGTCTTGAGGCACCCTATTTTCAAATGGGGTGCCTCAAGACTGTCCATAATTATAAAGGGTGCCTTGGGACTGTTCATACATTTTAAAAGGGCACCCCATTCTAAAATGTGAATAATTATTCCAAAAGCTTTCTATAACGCAGCAACATCCACACCCATAGGGCACCCAACGTTGGAGGAGATTTATTCTTCCCAAGCAAATCCACTTTTTCACACTGGTACTGACTAGTATTCCAATGTTTCTCTTCTCCCTCAGTTGCACACCGGTACTGACTAGTATTCCATTGTTTTCTTCTCCCTCAGTTGCACACCGGTACTGACTAGTATTCCATTGTTTCTCTCTCCCTCAGTTGCACACCGGTACTGACTAGTATTCCAATGTTTCTCTTCTCCCTCAGTTGCACACCGGTACTGACTAGTATTCCGTGTTTCTCTTCTCCCTCAGTTGCACACCGGTACTGACTAGTATTCCAGTGTTTCTCTTCTCCCTCAGTTGCACACCGGTACTGACAAGTATTCCATGTTTCTCTTCTCCCTCAGTTGCACACCAGTACTGACAAGTATTCCAATGTTTCTCTTCTCCCTCAGTTGCACACCGGTACTGACTAGTATTCCATTGTTTCTCTTCTCCCTCAGTTGCACACCGGTACTGACTAGTATTCCAATGTTTCTCTTCTCCCTCAGTTTTTCTCCAGCACTGAGCTAATGTGACCCCAGCACTGACAGAGAGGGGCAGAGGATGATCAAACTAGGATGCTGTGCAGTCAGCTGACATCCTCCTTATCAACTGATGATGTCATTGGTTGTCAGGTCGTAATGGCGCACAATGAAAAGCTAAACGACGGGCTTGTTCCACCTGCTAACTTCTATACAAGTTTTAGGCAATATTTATGCATTTTGCCAAGGCGCCCCTGAAGAAACCTCAAGGCACCCTGGGGTGCCTGGGCCCCCTGGTTGAGAAAGGCTGCCCTACAGAATAAAATAGTGGTAGTTCCAATTTTTTCATGTCACGCGATATTACCGAAGAGGTCTAGCAAATCCCAAATATTTAGTAAAAAACACACTAAAAATGAATTAAAAGCCAAACAAACGCAATGAATTTCTCAGATTTTTGGTAAAATATAAAAGACGAGGTTGCGCCGAGTAACTAGATACCCAACATGTCAAACCTTAAATTTGCATGCGACAAATGTTAGTACCCCATATTTTTTATAGGCGACGCTTCAAAAAACCCTACAGGCCATCAGTTTAGTGTGACCGAGGAGGTCTGGTGCTAGAATTATTGCTCTCACTCCGGCGTGTGCGGCGATATGTAACGTGTATTGCATGTGACGTTTTCATGCATAGGCGCCCCCAACGTGTGCGTATATGTGTGGCTGGAGGGCCTCAATTTTTTTTTGGGGGGGGGGGGATGTTATGTGCTTGGGTGTAACTTTTTATTTTTTTTAAATAAAAAGAAAAAACTTTTATTTTTTTCCATCACAAAGTCCCCTATGTGATGATTTTTAGGTGACAGGTTCTCTGTAATGACACATCCGGGGTCTAAAAGACCACTAATGTCTCTTCTTGGGGGTCACTGGTTGTTATTGCAGTACTTCTCTCCCTGGATATTCGGTGACAGCGATGATCTGGGTGAGAGAAGGGGAGGAGAGTGGCGTTACCTGGGGGGGGGGGGGCTGTGTGGGCGGAGCCCTGCATGGCCACACTGTATTCATAAAGTGACAGCTTGTATGGGGAACGTCTCCCCATACTGCTGCCACAAGGGGGGGGGGGGGGGGGTAGGGAATCGGGCAGCTGCTGCAGCATTGAGAACATGTTACCTGTTCCACTCTAAAAATGGGTTGAACGAGTAACATATTCCCAAAGGTAAACTTAACCTTAAAGAAATTGCAGCCAGCACTACTGTGCCTGATCACTTCCTGGTTTCCGCAGTGCTCCGCCCTACGAGTTGCGTCACCCATTATCTTCACCCCCCACCAAAAATCCCACCCCCCACCCAGTGAAGATCCCTTCTCTAACACCCCTCCTTCCCAAAGCTCACCCTCTGCCCCAGTACAGAGCTCTTGCACCCACCCCTAAATACTTACCCAATCCTCAGTGCAGAAGGAGCAGCTCTCGGGGGGCTGGGCTGTCACACTAGGAGCGCTCTTTGTGAGGAGAGACGCACTGTTGCTTGCAAACCCAGAAGGCGGCACAGGCAGCCAGCTTTATTTTTAGAATAAGTGACAGCGGTGGGCACAGGGCTAGTTGCAGAGATGGTGGTACCGAGTACCACTGTGCTCCTTATAAAAAAAAAAAAAAAAAAGCCCTGCTGATAGGAGTGACACAGCAGTCACTCCTGTCAGTGGTGAGAGTGAGGCTGCTGAAGCCCCAGTGTGCTCCTGCCTCTACATAGTGATGCTTCTCCCAAGGGTACATGCCCCTTTTGCTTTCCCTCCCCTGTATTGTCTATGGAGGAGCAGCATTGTCACCTTAGGACAGGACGTTTGTTAGGACTACAGGACACTTCTCCTGAACCCCGTATGTGACGGGAGTCACTTTGGGTGGGGGGCCCATGCAACCCAGCTCACTTTGGAGAGGTGGGGAGACCCCTGTCTCAGCTCCCCATATCCCTCTTCTGTGTGTAAGTCACCCTGTGTCTGTTAGGGGTACAGGGTTATCTGTCCTAATATTGTGTAGACATGTCTAGAAGATAGGTGGGGGGTTGTGGATTGTTTGGTGTTGTGTGGCTGCATCCCATTGTTCTATTGTGTGTCTTGCTTGGGAGCAAACTATTATGGGATGTATGTGTTTATGTGTATTAGCTTAGTGGGGGGGGGTGTCTCCAGCAGCCCTCCCTCCTGATGGGGCTGTTTGCTGGTGTGAAGTTTGAATATCTGTTTGTCTCTTGTTGCTAAATGTAGATTGCCCCGCCCTGTGTCACTATGCAGGGAGGGGGGACTGTCCCCTGAGTGTATATATCTTGTATTTGTGTTGAAATAAACTAGTCTACCTTCTGGATTACTTCAAGTCCGGTGTCGTCTAGTCTTGTATGGTCGGCTAGTGTGTGTGGTGTCTGTTGTTGGTGTTTCGGAGGGGGAAGCGGTATTTCTAACGGAAGTACCCAAGCGCAGTCTGGGTCGGTTCCGTTACACCGTAACATGGGATATGTTCTTTGGTCGGTCGGTACGGGTTTCTTCACTTTTCACATCACTGCCTATCCCTCTCTCCTCTGCTTTCTTTTTGGAACAAACCGTTTTTATCTCCTTGGCATTTCTATGCATTCGGAACTCAGGAATGTCTCCAGTCTTCAGTGGCTTCCCATTAAAACTTGCTCCAGGGAAGCGCACAAGTCCTTTTTTTCTAGTGGATTTTTTATTCGAACGGATCTGATCACATCTGTGCCTCTCCAGTCCGACATTGAGTAAATAATTGCGTCTCGTAGCTTTTAATGCAAACATTTATGTAGGCAGTAATGTAGGATGAGCCTCTCAATGTTCCATTTAATGGCAGCACCTGCTTCTGCAGCGTAAGCTCATAAATGACTTGGCACGGGCGCCTGTTCGGGGCAGCGGCCGCCGATGAGCCGCAGGACGGAACTGGCTTCCTATATCCCGCACGCGGCGTCTGTTTGCGAAGGATACAATACAAAGCGGCGTCCCTCAACTAAACGCCGCTTCTCTCTTCCTGTAGCTGCAGCATCCTGCTGCTCGTTTATGTAATTACCTCGGTTCCCATGTTGGGCCTAATTAATTTGCATCTTGAGCTCGGATGGGGAGTGCAGCGGCTGCATTGTTTAAACGTCAGAGATTACTAATTGCTACAGATCTCCGAGTTGTATGAAACGGAAAGCAAGCCCACTGGGGCCATGTTTTTAAATAAGTCGTATGTTTTCCACTTGCTTTATGCACCAGAATGCGTCTTCCTTAAAGCACAGCTACAGGCAGATGCAAAAGACCCATTTTATTAAAAAAATCTGCAAATTTAATTTTAAATGGCATCTTAATTGGTTTTGATATTGGCCTCCTGTAATCATCTGCACAGCAGGAGGTCGAGGAGGAGAGGGAGGGGCAGCACTGTCGGAGAATTGGGTTCTGCTGCATTGCACATTTTAAAGCTGATCTCCGAGCTCCAAATATCTCCTCTCCCCACCCCCACCCTCCAACTGATTGCTGGTGTTAGAAATAAAAATTTTCCCAAGTCTCCTCCTCTTCTTTATCAGGAGCGGGATCCTTCAGGTGTGTATGTCACTACCTGCATTACGTAAACTGGGGGTATTAACCTTAATTTCATTATGGTGGCCCCCAAAGGGCCAGTTGTATCTGTAAGACTCTAGATGTCCAGAGCTCTCCACCCTATCTTACATCAGATGTCAAGTGTCCCCTACCCTCCCTTACATCAGATGTCAAGAGCCCCCCCCCCACTATCAGAAGTCGAGTCCCCCACCCTCCCTTACATCAGTTGTCAAGAGCCCCCCCACCATCAGAAGCCAAGAGTCCCCCACCCTCCCTTACTTTAGATGTCAAGAGTCCCCCACCATCAGAAGTTGAGTCCCCCACCCTCCCTTACATCAGATGTCAAGAGCTCCCCCACCATCAGAAGTCGGGGTCCCCCACCCTCCCTTACATCAGATGTCAAGAGCCCCCCCCACCATCATAAGTCACGAGTCCCCCCACCCTCCCTTACATCAGATGTCAAGAGCCCCCCAACCATCAGAAGTCGGGTCCCCCACCCTCCCTTACATCAGATGTCAAGAGCCCCCCACCATCATAAGTCACGAGTCCCCCACCCTCCCTTACATCAGATGTCAAGAGCCCCCCAACCATCAGAAGTCGGGTCCCCCACCCTCCCTTACATCAGAAGTCAATAGCCCCCCCACCATCAGAAGTCACGAGTCCCCCCCCACCCTCCCTTACATCAGATGTCAAGAGCCCCCCCCCATCAGAAGTAGAGTCTCCAACCCTCCCTTAAATCAGATGTCAAGAGCCCCCCAACCATCAGAAGTCAGGTCCCCCACCCTCCCTTACATCAGATGTTAGCAGATGTCGAGAGCCCCCCCGCCATCAGAAGTTGGGTCCCCCACCCTTCCTTACATCAGATGTCAAGAGCCCCCCAACCATCATAATTCAAGAGTCCCCCACCCTCACATCAGATGTCAAGAGTCCCCCCAACCATCAGAAGTCGGGTCCCCTACCCTCCCTTACATCAGATGTCAAGAACCCACCACCATTAGAAAGTCATGAGTCCCCCTCCCTCCCTCACATCACAGTGCCACCCCCATACCCTGTGCTGAGAAGGTGGAGCTGGTAAGCAGACAGCGATGCGAGAGGAGACAAGGGGGTGCTGAGGCTGCACTGAGAGGCGCAGGATCTATAGGAGGAGTTCTGTCCCCCTCCTTGCTGCCAACTGCTGAGAGACAGGAGGGGGTAAAGATTAGCCTCTCCATGGCTGCATGGAGAAGCACAGGAACTGGTGGAGGAGTTTTGTCCTCTTGCTGCCAGCTGCTGAGACAAGGTAACGGCAGAAACGAGGAGGAAGCTGCAGGAGAGGTGCGAGGGCCACATGTAATGGCCTGGCGGGCCGGATTCGGCTCACAGGCCTTGTGTTTGACACATGTGACGTAGATCCTTCCTATTGCCTGTCCAGTGGTGTGGGGGCCCTCTCAGAGGAGTGACGTAAGTGTGAGGAAACTCTCAAGGACCATGTGGGCGCATCTGCAGCACTGGAACTGCGAAAGTAAAGGACCCGAACTGTGGGCTTTAGGTGAGTATATTTTGTTTCACAAGGTGAGGAAAATTTGTAAAAAATTTCAGAATGCGTTTTGAGGAGGAAATGGCGGGGGGGGGGGGGGGGGGTCTGGGTCAGTTCATTGGAGATTTAGACCCTCTATACAGCTGTGCAGCAATAGATCCCATCTAATAGTGATCTATTGCTGGCTGCAGTGAGCCATCAATAGATCACTATAGGAATGATCTCCTGCTTCAGATCTGTCCAAGCCTTTGAGGAGAAAGTGTCTCTTTTGGTATAAACTCGATGTGGAGGCGTTGTGTTTAAATCGATCCGCTACAAGTGCGCCAAGGGAGATCTACGTAGAAAGAACGATCGTCCAGGAGTTGACTGTTTCAGCTCCTGGGCTCAGTGCTGGATTCCGGCTGTCGCTGACCCCAGAGAACCCCCATTTCCTGGTGTCCATTTATACCGGCAATAGGACAAATAGCTGCTGCCCTGGTTTTAAAATTGCAACTGGAACCCAATTGGTTAGAAGGAACTAGACTTGAAATGTGAATAAACTCAAGCGGGGCGGACTGACCATTTGGAAACTCGGGCACTGCCCGAGGGCCCGGGGTCAGTAGGGGGCCCCATGAGATGCCCCTGGTACCTTTTTCAAGGTCTTTTTGAGTTTGGGCAAGAACACAGGGGCCCCATGATCCCCTATTGCCCGGGGGCCCCATGAGTTGTCAGTCCGCCCTTGGACTCAAGCGCTTACTATGCTGAATACAAAATATATAAATCAATAAGTAAGATATGAAAATTGTAGCCGCTGGTGCACACAACCCATGTCTGAGTGGGCTAAATAATGAATAATATCAATGGATACATATAAAAATGCACAAAACCTATAAAATATATATGTGTAGAATGGTGATAGCAAAAAAAAACAAAATTATGTGACAAACAAATTTGACTGGTTCCCGCCCAGCCAATAGCACAAAGGCGGCCGACAAAATACCTCGTCCCTCCGGGTGGACGCCATACGGCGTCCTTTCAGGCAAGCGCAGTGCCGCTCTGCGGTGTGATCTGTCACCAGCCGTGTACCTCGGACACGGGCGATGACAGATCTGTGTACCGGCCCCGTTTCCAGTACCCATGTGACCCATAACAGCAGGTCACATGACAGTTTTATACAGTGGATGGCTTCCTTTCATGCCATCCATTGTATACAAGTGTGCCTAGCTGTGAATGGTCACAGCAATCACATGCACAAGCTGGGCCAATCACAGCCCAGCTGTGTCATGTGATTAGCCGTGGCCAAATCACAGCTAAGTACAAAAAAAAAAAACCTGAATGAATTGATTTTATTCAGGTAAATGCTTGCTTATACCAAAGTAATTCTTTGCTATAAGCAAGTTGTGTAAAAAAAAAAAAAAAAAAAGAAATATTGATCACTTCCTCAAAGTAGTACAATGTTACTATGGTGACATTATACTACTTTGGTCATAGTGAAATATGAAAAAAAATCTTAAAAAAAAATGTAATAAAAGATTAAAACTAATAAAAAAAATTGAAAAAATTATTTTTTTTTTCGTACTGTCACCAGTCAGTGTCCCTGATCACCGCCATGCCAGTTATATGATGACGCTGTACTACACTGGTGACAGTATGTAAAAAAAAAAAATAGTGAAAATTTTTTTTCATTTTTTCATTTTCTGAAAAATTATGACAAAACAATTACAACTTCAAAAAAACTCGCCATGCCTGTTATGAAGTACGTCGGACTGTCTACTTTGCAAAAAGGGGTCATTTGGGGGATATCTGTACTGTCCTGACATTTGGGGGATTTCTGTACTGTCCTGACATTTGGGGGATATCTGTACTGTCCTGACATTTGGGGGATATCTGTACTGTCCTGACATTTGGGGATATCTGTACCGTCCTGACATTTGGGGGATATCTGTACTGTCCTGACATTTGGGGGGATATCTGTACTGTCCTGACATTTGGGGGATATCTGTACTGTCCTAACATTTGGGGGATATCTGTACTGTCCTGACATTTGGGGGATATCTGTACTGTCCTGACATTTGGGGGATATCTGTACTGTCCTGACATTTGGGGGGATATCTGTACTGTCCTGACATTTGGGGGATATCTGTACTGTCCTGACATTTGGGGGGGATATCTGTCCTGTCCTGACATTGGGGGGATATCTGTCCTGTCCTGACATTTGGGGGATATCTGTGCCGTCCTGACATTTGGGGGATTTCTGTGCCGTCCTGACATTTGGGGGATTTCTGTGCCGTCCTGACATTTGGGGGATATCTGTGCCGTCCTGACATTTGGGGGGATATCTGTCCTGTCCTGACATTTTTGGGAGATTTCTGTGCTGTCCTGACATTTGGGGGATTTCTGTACTGTCCTGACATTTGGGGGATTTCTGTACTGTCCTGACATTTGGGGGATTTCTGTACTGTCCTGACATTTGGGGGATATCTGTACTGTCCTGACATTTGGAGATATCTGTGCTGTCCTGACATTTGGGGGATATCTGTGCTGTCCTGACATTTGGATGGATATCTGTACTGTCCTGACATTTGGGGGGATATCTGTCCTGTCCTGACATTTGGGGGGATATCTGTCCTGTCCTGACATTTGGGGGATATCTGTCCTGTCCTGACATTTGGGGGATATCTGTCCTGTCCTGACATTTGGGGGATATCTGTCCTGTCCTGACATTTGGGGGGATATCTGTCCTGTCCTGACATTTGGGGGATATCTGTCCTGTCCTGACATTTGGGGGATATCTGTCCTGTCCTGACATTTGGGGGATTTCTGTCCTGACATTTGGGGGATATCTGTACCGTCCTGACATTTGGGGGATATCTGTACCGTCCTGACATTTGGGGGATATCTGTACCGTCCTGACATTCTTGGACCTCAAGAATTCAGATTGGCCGTCAGTACTTCAGGATTGATCAATACTCAGATCTATACCATAGTTTGTGAACTCTATAACTTTCCTACAAACTAAATAATACATCCTAATTTGGGTTATTTTCACCAAAGACATGTAGCAGAATACATCTCGGCCTAAATTTATGAAGAACAATTATTTATTTACAAACTTTTATAACAGAAACAAAGAAAAACGTGTTTTCTTTTTTTTTACATTTCGGTCTTTTTTTGTTAATTTAGCAAAAAATAAAAACCCCCGGCGGTGATTAAATACCACCAAAAGAAAGCTCTAGTTGTTTGAAGAAAATGATAAAATTTTAGTTTGGGTACAACGTTGTATGACCGCGCAATTGTCATTCAAAGTGTGAGAGCGCTGAAACCTGAAAAATGGCCTGGGCAGGAAGGGGGTACAAGTGCCCGGTATGGAAGCGGTTAAAATTGATAATCCAAAAAAATGTAATCAAAGTCCAATTGTTCTCCTGTGACGCCTCCTTGGGATAACGACCACTGTGTGAATCTGTCACAGAATTCCAGTGCAAAACATCCTCCACTATAAATCTGCTCACCTCCAGCAGTGTGACCTCACAGTATACAATGTTTTGGTCTGACTGCACTTTTGATCCCAAATGTATGGACTCCGAAGATCAAATTGCTGAGTAATGGCTCCAAAAGATGCTCCCGTCAGATAACCACCTCAAGCACAGCCGTGTTCCTCATAAGCAAAAGCTCAACATAGTGCTTTACCCTTTAAAAACTTTTATTTCTCATTAAACATCTGAAATGCACTCACATTGCGTAGGTGCAGCTCTGCACCATGTATGGTGAATGTCCAGTAATGTACGAAATAGGCCCAAGATGGTGGTATCATCCCCGGCAGCCAGTCCAGGCTGCAATACGTCACCATACAAAGTATATTGCGAGGCAATGCGGGGGCCCAATGTATATCTGCCTACAGATGTGACAATCGTGGAGCGATGTGTGGATTACTACTACCACTATTCCGATGAATGGCAACGTCATGACGTCATCCACACGCTCCTCCTTGACGAGTTTCGTCACAGATCATGTGACTTTATCAAGGGCAGTATTTTTTCATTGATATTAAGGAACTAGACTTATCTGAGATAAATAAACTGAGACTAAGGTGGGGGGTTGACCTTTTCCCAACTCCTAAGTCAAAACTTTTCTTTTCAACCCCTTGGCGCCTCCCAGCCCTTTAACCACTTGTCTACTGGGCACATATACCCCCTTCCTTACCAGGCCAATTTTCAGCTTTCAGCGCTGTCGCAGTTTGAATGACAATTGCACGGTCATGCGACATTGTACCCATATGAATTTTTTATCATTTTTTTCTCACAAATAGAGCTTTCTTTTGGTGGTATTTACTTGCCGCCAGGAGTTTTATTTTTTGTGCTATAAACAAAAAAAGAGCAAACAATTTGCAAAATGTTATAATAGAAACAAAGAAACCATTTTTTTTTCAAACAGGTAATTTTCTTCCTTTACTGATGTGCGTTGATGAGGCTGCACTGATAGGCAGCACTGAAGGGCACTGATGGGCAGCACTGATAGGCAGCACTAATGAGGTGGCACGGATAGGCAGCACTGATAGGTGTAACTGATAGGCGGCACTGATGATGGGTACTGATAGTCAGCACTGACTGGCGGCACTGCTGGGCACTGACTGGCACAACTGCTGGGCTGCACTGATGGGCACAGGTGGGTGGCACTGATGGGCACAGGTGGGTGGCACTGATGGGCACAGGCGGGTGACACAGGTGGGTGGCACTGATGGGCAGAGTTGGGTGACAGAGGTGGGTGGCACTGCTGGGCACTGGTGGTGGGTGGCACTGCTGGGCACTGGTGGGTGGCACCGCTGGGCACTGGTGGGCTGCACTGCTGGGCACAGGTGGGTGGAACTGGTGGGTGGCACTGCTGTGCCCTGATGATCGGTGCCGATCCTCGCTCTGACAACTGCCGGTTCTCGGCACTACTTTCCTCACGTTCTGACAGCGTGAGGAAAGTGCAGCCGAGAACCGGCAGTTGCATTTTCCTGTGATCAGCGTGTCATTGGACACCGCTGATCACGTGGTAAAAGGCCGGTGGGATCGGCCTTTCACCACATCACGTGATCAGCTGTGTCCGTAGGACACAGCGATCACAGAGCTCGCCGGATGCTCGCCCCGGGGGGGCGCACAGGAGAGCGCGTTCTGGGAGGACGTCATATGACGCCCTCACAGAACTGGCCGGCCGTAGTGTAGCCGTCATTCGGCTATCTGTGGTCGGCAAGTGGTTAAGGGTTTCAGAAGCCGGGAGGCAGGGCGGGGTTTAGAGTCATGTGTCACGTCGTGTCACGGCGGTCACATGATCGGGAAAGGTCCTGATCAAAAGAGGAGATCGGGACCTTTCCGTAAGTACCGGACATGTGTGCTGGGAGCGAGCAGGGCGCGTAGCGGTCTCAGCACATATGTATTTTTTTCATAGGACGCAAATGTGCGGCCACTCGGCGTCTAGGTCCAGACGCCAGGAGGCCGCACATTTGAGTTCAGCCGGCGCCAAGAGGTTAATTTTGATCTACTTGAAAGGCAAAGACTTATTTTGGCAGAGAAAATGTGCATTTATTACTTTCATTCACAGGAGCCTGCAAGGCTTTGCACCCACGATCCGTGCAATGTCAGGCTCCTGCAGACACTTCTTCCAGCTCCCTGTCTGTACAAAGCCACAGACTTTCAGTTGGAGAGCTGGAGGAAGTGTTAGTGGACTAGGGGTAATCACCGCA